CACCACATCATTTCTGGCTCCTGGCAGAGTTTCACTTGGTGACAAATCCTGAGCGCAGACTTTCCAGTGCCCTGTTAGTTCTGCCGCAGAGAACCAGCTGGCATTCCCTGAATTTAGCTAAACCAAGAGAATTATGCATTGCTCAGTGCGGTGACTGAGAAAGAAAGGATATTGTTCAGTTATTTTGGAGATTTATAGGCCCAAATGTTGTTTATTTATAAGTATGGAATTTTTTTTTTAATATTCAGTGGTTTGTAAAATGATTCATCAGCTGGCAGTCTTCTGCTTGCTCCCTTTGGATACATAATACATTTCAGTTTGTTACAGTGGTGACATTGCTTTAATTTACTGTCAGAACCACAAGTTAGGGGCTTGTCTTCTTCTCAGGCAAGTCATGGTAATGCCCAAATGTAGAATGAAAATCCTTCTTATTTGGTGAGACTATGGCTGGAAGGGCTCCCTCTTGCATATCAAGAAATACTGTACATTTGGCTACTCTGTTTTTTCTCTACTGTGAATCTGGCTGCTGTCAGTGCTATTTCCATACTACAGCAGGTATAAGATTTTTTTTTTTTTGGCCTCCACTTGATGTTGCTTTTCGGATTGCTGCTCTTCTTACATTACAGAAATTGCATCTTATGCTGAAGCCTGATTATATTTGGAAGGCAAAAGTGCAGACTTGAAACAACCTTACTGAGGGGAATGTGGGGGTGATAAGCAGGGAGAACGCCACAACAAACGTAAACACCCATGAAAAGAAAGAAGCATTTGTCACTACTGTCTGTAGGCTGTGATTAGAGAGCATGTGTGACTGCAGCGGTGCCAATGTGCCTCATGACTGCTGGGCTCTTCTGGTAGAACTGGAAATGAAGTGCTGTGGTGGGCAAACAGCAAATCCTGTCTGCAAGGAGAACTTACCTTCAAAGCTTGATTTGTGCCAAGAGTTGTGTTGCTTCTGAAACATTTCATGGCTTGAGATTTATTTGCAAAGCTTTTCTAATAATCCTATAAAGTGCTTAGCCTTAGTAATGTTTTCTAATTTCTTAGCTCCAGCTTTGAATGGAAAAAGATTGGTCTTTAACATTCCCCAAAATTGATTCCTATCTTTGTATTTATTCCTATACAATAAGTGGATGAATAGAAGTTTCTGGTATTAATATGTACTAATGGCATCATCTCTTGTCTAAGTGGCCACTCTTACTAGTAATATTTTTTCCAGTTTCTTTGTGTAATTATTTTTTATGTGCTTCATGGTCTAACAAATGATGACAGAATGAGTTGGTAGCCTTGTTTTTGACAAGAGATGTGTAATAGTTGAAGTATTGATAATGTGGTTGTACCATAGGCACTATATGCATTTCTGCAACCATTTGAAATACTTTCTGGTCACATAAATTGAAAATCTTTAAGTTCTCAGTAGTATCTCATAGGTTATTCTTCATTTTCTTTTGGATCGTGGTAGTTAATACAGAAACCACTCTGATAGCATTTCAGCCCAGTGTGGGAGATGTTTCTCAATGCTGAATTTCAACATGCGTTATGTTGCTCAATTTGTTTAATTCAGTTTATTTAGGAGACAGCAAAGGACTTTGCCATGTTAACTGCTGTATGCAATATACTAAACAAAGCATGAAAAATCAAAAGGAAATGCAAATATTTTCTCATTTTCTATTTATCGTGAAAATATCACTATGCAAGACTCTTAAACGTGATGTGAACGCCTTAGGACAGGGACCATTTTTGAAAGTAGTTATGATGTGTATTTGCCTTCTAATTTGCCTATGAATAATGAAAAAAAAAGGGAATAAATCATGTAATAAATTGGGTTCTTTGTCTTAAAACAGTATAAAATTACTTCTTCCAGAGCCTTGGTAACCTACATAGATATTTAAAGTTTCACGTAATGTCAAAACTTGTGATTGGAACTTGAGAACCAGTTTGAAAACATAGGTTGTGGTTGGTCTTATCAGTTACTACAAGCTACTTGTATATATATTACTTAAAGATTTGTGGCTTTGCAGGATTGAGGAAGTAGTACAAAACTGAAGTTATTCATGCTAAGTTGGACTTTTCAGCCTGGCTCAATTATTTATTTCTTAACTTTTTTCAGAGTTAGGATGAGCATAAGGTTTGAGGACATACACTAATACTTTGCACCATTAATTTTGAAAGAAGAATACACTAAAATTATCTTCAGGGTTTTTTTAAAATGTCATGTGTGTTCAAGCTTGGTTTGTTACCATACAACTAACTGTACAAGTAAAGCTTACATACCAATGTAGATGATCTCGGAGTTTTTTTCCAGCCTCAACAATTCTGTGATTCTGTTTCTAACAACAAATTATTTCTAACAGTTTTCCTTTGCATTTGGAAATCAAAAAACGTAATAGCTTTAAATCGATATTCATGTACAAAAGAAATAATAAAACTTTTTTTTTTTAATACAAAGACTGCTCAGTGTGCTGTGTGTGTTTTAGGTAAGATCTCATCCACTTCTGGATTGTGTTATAACCTATTTAGCCTTGCTAGGATTCCATAAATAGATGTGACTTAGCAACCTGAGTCTCCCACTTACCTGAAGAGGATTTTTTCCAGTCCAGTTGATAACTGTGCATCCCTCTGTGGAAAATGTTAATTACAAAACTGTTTTCCTGATGTTCATCTCCTGTGTACAACCTTTTGTAAGTGCTTGGCTGACAGCCTGGTCTATAATTGACAGAAGTATTGTATGCTAAGGGAAGACAAATTTAAAGGAATAAAGCAGAGGTTTTGTCTAAACACTGGCTCCTCAGCAAACTGGATGAGTGGTTTTAACCTTCTTTTTGTCTGTTTTAAAATGAGCCTGATAACCTAAGTCTCTCAAAAGCATTTTCTATAAAGTCGTGTTTTCAGAAGTAGAGAAAACTTCCACGTTTACTATTTGAATTCGGGATATGTTTCTTAGAATGCAGATACACAGTCAAATAACAGTGTGGTAAGCGATGGTGTAAGTGCCACCGCCCATCAGTTCCTCCATATTATATGTTCAAGTACGTACTTTTTCTTGGATGAGTAGTGTTAGCCTTTTCTCATTAAAAATAATCCTGCTAATACTCTAATGGAAAGTGCAAAACTAGTTTTAAAGGAGATACCTGTAAAAAGACATTAAATACAGAATGGTACTGGAGTCAATGATACATTCATTCTTTCACCTGAAGAGTTATGGAAGTCAGTAGACTTTTCCAGGCGCTCACAGTCTCAGTAGAACGACCAATAATAGTATTTTTCACTTTAGGTTCCAACAGTCTGGTTTCAGATATGACAAATGTCATATCTGGACTGACCAAAGAACAAGTAGATGGCTTGGGCTGAATTTTAGTTACCCTCGCATATGCATCTCATGTGACTCTTTGTAGGAGGAGACATCTGGAACAGAACCTCTGACCTTCTGGAGACACTGCTGGAGGGGATTCTTCCATGACAGGGAAAGCTCAAACTTTTCTAGCACAGGGAAGATGACTCCCACAGTTGCAAATCTGCAGGTGGGGTAGGACAGATTTAGGGCCGGGGTAGCAGAGGAGGACCTGGGAGCACCTGAGCTGGCAGAGCCTGAGCTGCACTGAAGCACCAGGAGAAAGTGACGGGTGATAGAAGGGAGCGATTCCCTGCTGCAGGGCACAGAGACTCCATCTGCCATCCTGACCTATTGTCTTACAAGGCTTACTGCTTGTCTGGACCTCAGATGCAGGATGTTGTTGGCTGTTAAAACTTGTCTGACCCGTCGACTCAGTGCTGCTCTTGCATGTGGGCACCGACACTGCTTCCAGGGGAGATCTGGAATATGCCAAGGATGACTGCATGGCTCTGGGGGTGATGGAAGGGTACAGGGATCCAAGTGGTGATCTCAGTTCTGCTGGTAAGGGAGGAGGAACAAGAAAGTGATTGGGACTATTCAGGATGGATTTATGAGCAGGAAATTATGGTTAACCAAGCAGATAGCCCTCTGTAATAAGACAGCTGGCTTGTTGGATGAAGGGAGAGAGCAGTGGATGCTGCTTGTGTTGACTTCAGGTAAAGCTTCAGTACGAGGGTGGCAAGACTCTGGAACAGATTGCCCAGAGAGGCTGTGGATGTCCCCTCCCTGGAGATGTTCAAGGCCAGGCTGGATGAGGCCCTGAGCAACCTGGTCTAGTTAAGGGCATCGATGCCCATGACAGGGAGGTTGGATTAGATGATCTCTAAGGTCCTTTCCAGCCTAAGTCATTCTGTGAAAGCTTTTAATGTTGTCTTGCACAACATCCTCATAGGTAAACTGGTGAAGTACAGACTAGAGCTTGATTGAAAAGTGACTGAAGTCTTTAGGCTCAATGAGTTTTGGTCAGTGAGATAAAGTCATTAGTGCTGTACCTCAGGGGTAAATACTGGAGCCAACTCATCTTTGTGGCGACTCTGGATGGTGAGACAGAGTGCACCCTCAGCAAGTTTGCTTGCTTAAAACTGGAAGGAGTCATTGATGCACCAGATAGTTGTGCTGCTATCCAGAGGGACCTTGACAAGCTGGAGATAGGTGCCAACAGGAATCTTATGAATTCATCAACTTCTTATACTTGGCAAATTAATATTGGTGACTGTTCATCTGTAACAGGTCTATGGTGAATGAAAGTACTTCTCCAGAAAATAGGACCGCATTTCAGTATTTAATATTGGATGCATGTTGTAGATACTATGTACATGTGTCTTTTGGGGTGTGCCTGTGTGTATTTTTATGTAGTTGTGTGGAAAGGTGGATGGTGGGTTCTTTTTATAACTGTTCTTAAAAATGTGGCTAAACATTATTTAGAATGGAAGCAATTTTGATTTTCTGTTTTAAGAAAACCCTAGAAACTCATTATTAACCCTTCACTGATCAGAATCTATAGTGATTAGATTTATTTCCTCAGTGTTGTGAATTCTAAGTTGCCTTTTTTTCTTTCTTTTTTTTTTTTTTTAACCCCTTCCCCTCTTTTCTCTGTAATTTGCAGCTTTTGGAAATTAACTGGACTGGACTGACCAATCTTCTGGATGTTCCAGGACTGAAGTGAGTATATATAAAGCAGTATTTGATATTTCTCCACCCTAATAGACTCCACAAAATCTGAGGATCACCAGCTAAATAATTTCAGGTTCAGTGATTTTGAGCAGTTATCTCTTAATTTAGAATTATATAAAATTGCTCAATATACAGGAGCAAGTGATTTTACTACAAGTGAAAGTACATCAAAAGAATATTTATTATGTCTTGTTAGAAGCATTTTGAAAAGATAATTTTTAATCTGTTCTTTTTTAGTGTTTGCAGCCTTTACAGATTTCCACAATCTTGTGGATTTCCTGTCTGCCATTTCCTAGGATAGCAGAAAGACAAAGAGCCTATTTTTTACCTAGTAGGTTCACAACATCTTGGCTTATGGCTTTGCACACATCTGTAGTTGATTGTGTAAAGGTAGTTAGAAATACCTTAAGACCGTAATCAAATTAAATAAACCTTCTAATCTCTTAAAGTACTTCTAAAGCTTTTAGTTTATTAGGTGAAGTTCAAATGGACTAGCAGAAATATTAAGCATATATAGCTAGAAAAAATGCTTGGCTTATTCAGAGCTTTTCAAAATAATACATGATAAAACCCCAAAGAAAAGAACAGAAGTAGAGATGAAAACCAGGCTGCTTTGAATCATTGCAATCCTGATAAGGTTAGATCTATGAATGTAATCATAATTAAATTGTAATAGGTTCTCTTTAGCTTGGAGGAGAGGAGGCTGAGGGGTGACCTCATTCATGTTATAAATATGTCAATGAGGAGTGTCAGGAGGATGGAGCCAGGCTCTTCTCAGTGATGTCCAATGACAGGACAAGGGACAGTGGGTACAAGCTGGAACATAGGAGGTTCCACAAAAACATCAGGAAAAGCTTTTTCACGGTGAGGGTGACAGAGCCCTGGCACAGGCTGCCCAGGGAGGTTGTGGAGTCTCCTTCTCTGGAAACATTCAAAACCCACCTGGACGCGTTCCTGTGTGACCTACTGTGGGTGATCCTGCTCTGGCAGGGGGGCTGGACTAGATGATCTTTTGAGGTCCCTTCCAACCCCTGACATTCTGTGATTCTGTGTGATTCTGTTACTCAGGGACTTTTTAATATTAAGGCAATGGCTAAGGGTCTAATGGTGGATGTGATAGACACTAGTCCTTTTGTTGGATTCTCTATGGGCAAGCATTGGCTGACTCCAGAATTATTGTAAAGTTTTACTTTTTTTTAATTGTTAAACAGGAGTTTGATTTTAGGTATTAATCCTGTAGTGCTCAGTTGTGTGAATGAGAAGGTTTTTGCTTTACTTAGACATGTGAAGCCATTGCATGGAATCCCAGTTGAACAGTTTGAAATTAGAACTTGCATTAAGTAGGTTAATGGCTGCAAGAATTGCTTATGTTCCAAGCCTGCCTTAGACTGCCTCTGAGGAAAGAGGTTTTCTTGATGAGTGAGAAAATGGCTTCCAGATCACAGCTCCTCAGTAATAATTTGCTCTTCTGACATAACACTAATAAGTTTACATTTAGTACTCAAGCTTACTAGGCTCATGATTCACATCGTGCTACATATTTGCCTGACTGCAAACACAGACCCTCAGATGTAAACAAAGTCTCGCCTAAGTATCTCAAGTTTATGGTTTCCAGAGCAACCCAGCTTGGCCACATACGCATAAAATGGGGCCACCAAATGTGGTATAGTTTCTATAGTAACTGTAACTGAGGTGACTCATTCTCTGCCTTGCCAAGAGATTTCTTCAGTGCTGTATTTGTTTTTCTTATCTGTATAGATAGGTTGTACGTTTTGCTATGACGACGTGACATATTGTAGTTGTTATAAACAATAATGAACAAAAGATTGCTGCCGCCATAGGAACCTTTTTCGTCCCGTGGCTGTTGGCTGCGTGCTAAACTACTTATTCATACTCTGCAAACGTCTTCTGCTAAATAGATTTCTGCATTCGCTGCTGGAAGCTTCCCTGTTAGCTGTTAACAACTTCCATTGCTCTTTATCTATGACTGCACAAGGAGAACGATGCAAAAGTAATTCACGTTCCATCATTAGTATAGCTTACAGAGGCATGGAATCAGAATCTCTAGGTGAGGAGGAGCCAGGCTATGAGAATACTCGACTGCTGTCAGGAGGGGATGTGGATGATGGGAAGATGAAATATGTTATGGTTGCTTGAGATAGAGTAAAAATACGTTATGCAGTCAGAGATGTGCTATCTCTGCAGTATAAATAAAGGCAATGTAGG